CTGACACTCCGTCTTATAAAGAACAGTGTGAAGACAAAGTTTGGCCCCTGCAGTTTTCACAGGCTGCAATGTTTGCTCCACATTTTCTGCTCCATGGCTGTTGCTTAGTAACTGTCAATGCACTGTTACAGTGTTGGGTGCTTCATTGCTGCTCTAATACAGGTTTGAGTTTATTTTCATTTCTGGTTGTCTACCTATTTCTGGTCTGGCCCCAGTCACATAATAAACAGTCAGGCAGTTCTGGTTGAAACTAGGTTTATCCTGGTAGTGAAGTGGTTCGAATATGTGGTTCAGCATTGGTGCAAAATAGCGGGTCAAGAAAAAAGCCTCTGTTTTGTGGGAAACTGTACTAATTCTATCTACTGCTTGAGAGATATACCAATATATATTAAATTAAATTTTAAAATGGTATGTTCCATAAGTAACAATTAAGTGCTTTAACAAAAAGCTCACTAGAAATGAGGTCATTTAGAAACAGTGTCTCATTTGTCTACCAAAGAAAAATCAAATCTAAGGAATTTAATCAAGATTGTTTGTTTATGTTTAATTAGAGATGACTATCAGTAGAGAAAACGTTGAATTGGTCTTCTCCTACTCTCATCATGTCATCTTCACATTGTTTACAGTTAGGCAGTAATCTGCAGGAATGATACAAATACTAATGCTTTGTACAATCTGGGCCTCAGAGGCTCGCCCCCTACAGGAATCCTGGGTGATTACAACCCACAATGAGGCAGTTACAGCAATCGATCTAACTGGTTTCTAGCTAAAATATAGTTCTGCAAGTAAAATAATATTGGCTGTAGTGCTTAAGAACAAACTTTGGTTTTTGCTTTGGAGTGACCTGAACCAAAGCCGCACCAGCCAACTTTCAGTATGTTAAAAAGTCCTGACGGTGTGAGCAGATCATGACCTGGTCGTTAACAGTATAAATGAATGCTTCAGTGACTCAATGACCTAATGAAGGGTTAACTAAACATGCATGATTAACTACACACTGTTGATTGGTCGGTTTTCTTATCTGTTGACTTTCTTCTTGGGAAGTAGAAGAAAAAGAGGAACAAGAACAGTTAAGGAAAGCAGACAGCGAGAGAAAAGGTGAATTATTAACACTCCAGTCATTATAATTTACCCACTTAATTTCTTATGAATTCATTTAGAGGCTCGGCAAATTTAGAATAAAAATGACTTTCATTTATTCCCTTTATTGGTTTTCCAGTGAATAACTGGCTCTGCTTTAAACCAATGATGAAAAACTGACTTCATTCAGAGTGTATTTCCAGCAGCATGTATTGAGCACTGATGATCCCTCAGCAAACATGCTGACCACAGCACACATTCAGAAGTCTGCAGGTTTCCATCCAAACCAAACACTACAACAGGTGATTTCACCAAATCCCACCAAAAAGGAGGGACTAAGCACCTGGTGAAGTCTTCACTTTCAAAGAAAACCTGCATACTCTCAGCCCTCAATGGCCTGACTGCCCATTTGTTACCCAACTCTCCCCAAAAACAAGTTTTGAAATAGAATAAATAAAAATCTATAGTACTATGTATAAATTTATAGACTATATATTTTAGTCTGAAGGACCAGACCATGAGAAATTTATTGAGGCCTTGGGCAATTTGCCCTTAACTGCTCATAAAATGCCCTTGAAATTAAAAACCAGGGGTAAAGTTGCCCCCGGTCCTTCATTAAATGTCAACCTGTAATTTTTTTCCCCCAGTACGTAATTATTCATGTGTGACTGCAGCTACTGTCCCCTCTGAGCCACCATAGGGTAAGCCTATTACAAGGCTACACCTTCCAGTGCATTCTGGGCAACAAAAAAAAACGAGCAGATTTTGTTGATCAGAAAACAGCGACAGTAAGTACGCAGCATGAAGCAGTAGAAAGGGTTGGCACCACACAGCCAGCCGAAGAAGAAAATCCTGATCTCACACAAACCACTGCATCATCAAAAAACAAAACAATCAGTGTTGTAAAAAAAGAGGCGAATAGTGGAGACTGCACTGGTTGGAAACAGAGAAGGTCATTTCCTCTTCAATAAGACCAGCTGAGTGTCCAGTAAAAAGGAAGGTGGTAAACTGCATTATGCTTTAAAATAAACCTCTGTCATATAAACTGACTGCTAATTTACCAATATCCAATGCGGTTGTTGTAGCAGAGATAAAACTTCCCCTAAAAAGTGTGTCAGAGAGGTGTTTATTTCACTTAACGGTACTTTTGGAACGACTTTACACTGACATTATAAATCAGAAGAAGCTACCGGTCCAATATCGACAGTGAGTTTAATCAACATCTCTCTCACACGGTTTTAATGAAACCATTTTTTACAGCCTTACGAGGGGGTTTCTGCTGCAGGGCTATTACACCAAGCTGCATCGTAATTTACAGGTGTTCATGTTGTTACGTCCGTTAGGGAACATCCATTCGAGTTGCTAAAAACACTGAGACCATGACGGTTTTTGACTGTAGTCACGATACATTTGAAAACGTGTATTTTTAACTACCTGCACATTAGCCCAGCAGACAATGGGGGTTACCTGAGTGTAAGCAGGGTTAGGGAAAATAAATACCCTATAAGCGCTGTGTGCAAGACAAAATATGATGTTAGAGGGTCCACTGGCTGAAAGATAAGCAAACAAAAACTTTAATGCCACTCAGCCAAGATTAATTAAGGTGACTGTTACGGAAAATATAAGGAACAGATTTTAAGGTTTTCTGCAGATAGTCAATGATGTGTAATGAGTGAATATGCTTAAAATGGAAAAGAACATTACTGTGATCTTAGATGATAACTGTTAGTGAGCATGACTTACTCTGTCCCAAAGGTAGAAACAAGACAACCAAGTCTGTCACCTTTGTTTTCATTAGGAAACATAATAATGCCACTCCACTGATGATACATTAGAGACATCTGTGTGAGCGCTTCAGCAGGGAATTTATGTGGGAAATTTCAGGAGCTAAAGAGATTAAACTGGTCTCCAAATTGCTGCTGAGGGTACCAGAACCCGTCCAGAATGAGCCCACTGACTGTATCACAGCTTACTGTCCCAGTTCTGTCGTTTCTAGCTTTGGGATGCAGTTGTTACTGGATGCTGGGAAGTTTTCTAATATCACAAGGTGAAAGGAAGCATAAGAAGAAAAAACAAAAAACATTAGAACAGAATTTCAGGGTGGATATGTTCAGAAGCCTTATGGTGAGGCAGATCAGGATAGATATGAAGATGATGGGACAGACAGAAAGAAAAAAGGAAGGAAGGAGGGAGGAAAGGAAGGGCGTACTAAGAAGAGTTATCAGCAGCAAAATCTCAGTGATCGTGTCTGACTGCTCATACTGTCATACTGAGAACTTCCAGTGAATACAAAAACACACGTTTGTTTCTGATTAGTAATTATCTGAACTGTTTAGTTGAGAATCCAATTATCTGACGATAGAATAGACTCAAGGTGCCTTCAGACCACCGACATAATTCCTTCATTTTGGAAATGAGTGCTGAACAGCCTAGGAGAACTGAAATGTCAATAAACAGGAAACAGTATGGGCATTCAGACAGTTTAACTTCTACTCTGTTCTCTCTGAAACTTTGGTAGGATATGACTGACCTCTTTCTCTCTCTCTCTCTCTCCCTCTTTTTATACATCATACATACCCAGGCACAAAGGCTGGTCCCACACAAACAGACCCACTACTCTTTTCCTCCCACACACAAACCATTGGTGTAATACTTGAGCAACACAGTTAAGAGTCAGTCACATTTATATTCCTGCATCCATCGCGCTGTAATAATGTACACAGAAAATTAAGCAGCATATGTCAGTGTTACTGAGATAGGGTTACATATCAAATGCTATACACTTGTGTTAAAAACAATTAGTTAAATTAATGTACTAATTAACTGACAAGCACATTACAGGTTCAACATAAAGTGAGCAAAGCGCCTGCTAAATAAAGCTAGGGCACACAAATGAAGAGATAGTTGCTCTTATCTGTTTTCATGTTATATTTATTATTATTAATGTTATATTTATTATTATTAATGTTATATTTATTATTATTTCTGATTCTGATATTTGATAATGCATTGATTATTTTTCATTATTTATTTTTTGGACTGTCAGATAAAATGGATTGTTTTTTTGTCATCGTAGAGAATTATGATGCCATGATGAGTATTGGTAGATTTATTTCGGACCAGACGCTAACGTTGACTTTAATGATTAATCGGATAAACGAAGCGAGAAAATAAACGACAATAAGCAGCCTTTACGTGCTACTCTCGCTTCATTTTCTCATATTTATATAGCTGCCAGCTTGGGTTAAAACAAACGACGAGAGAACAGGCAGATGAAACCGACCAGCCTTCAGCCTCAGCCTGTATCTGTGTCTGTATCTGTGGTTTGGTGTTTCGGTGTTTCGGTGGAGACGACGCCCGACTGTTAGCTTAGCCAGCCGCCGCCATTACCGGGCGACGTTAGCTGTTAACGCCGCTGCAGGCCCGAGGCTCGCAGATATCACCTCACAGGCTTCATTCGCTCAGGTTTCAGCTGTTGTTGCGGTTTCTGGTTGAGATACAGTTACAATACCGCTTACAACGGGGGTCTATATTCGTCTTTAATGCAACCGAAAATCGGTTTACACGATAAAACCGACGGGCAGCTTTACCGCAAGCTAACGCGACAGCTTGTGGTTAGCAGCGGCAGCATTGAGTGTACATCCAGGGCTGCTGGGGTTATAGTTAGGACAATCTAAGTGTCTATCGACGCATATTCACCTGTTTAAAGCACATGGACACTGGCTACTATACAGAATATCTGGGGTGCATTAATCTAGCTAGCGTTGACGTACAGTGCTATCTAATCAAGCATTCATACTGTCTGTAGCGTTCATATTGACAGTCGTTTGGGGTGCAGCTGCAGATAATGTCCATATAATCCTCCTGTGAACGGTCCTATGTGGCTACTGTTGAGGATATAACTGCGTGTGTGTGCGAACCTTTTTGATATTGTAAACACGGGTCAACATCCCGATGCCTCGGTCGTTGAGGATGGTGAGTTTTTCTGCCAGTTTCTGCTGGCTGGGCTGGATCACACCCCGAGACATCTTCTCGCTGTTCGGTTAAATCTCCAATTCAATCCCGAAAAATAGCACAAATCTCCGCAGCCTCTCGCCCGTAAATGAAGAAAAAAAAGAAGCTGTTTGTGTTTGGCGTTATTTAGATTTCGCCCATGTTCAGATATTCGGGGACAGCAGCTTCCTGTACTCCACCCCACCGTCTCCCTGCCTGCCTGGTGTTTTTTTTTTTTTTTTTCTCGGTCACTGGGATGAGGAGTTGTCCTGGTTTTCACAACGAGGCTGGCTGCTGTTGCGTTCACTGACCCTCGTTAATAATCCGACTGTATCCCAAATCACTATTCGATGTTATAATGTCAGAAATCGAATATGGGCAGTGTTGGGCTGGTTACTAAAAAAGTCATTTGTTACTCTAGTCATTATTCCTTTAAAAAATAATATTATTGTTACTTTATTTATTACTCCATGTCAACAGTAATTAGTTACCCACAAAATTGGTTGTTGTGTCCCTTCTCCCCAATACTGAGACTCAAGGCGATTAAAATAAGTTAAAAAGATAAGACAAAATAAAGTAAAAAATAAGTTTTGTTTGTTAATATAAAGGTAATGGGAATATTTCCAGCCTCTAAGTGTAAGCAGTTCAGTCTTTCAAGCTAGTTTCCTCCACGATTAAAGAAATGTATTCAAGAATGTGATTGTTGGATTTCAAATCAGTAGGAGGTGATAACGAAAATAAGGTTGTAACTAGAAATTTATTTTGGGTGGGGGTAACTAATATAATTATGGAGATTTATTAGTAATTAGTTACACTACTAGTTACTGGGGAAAGTAATATTATTGCAAGAAATACCTTACTGCCCAACATTGATCCCTTCACTGATGCAAACTACCTCAAAGTGCATTTTCCAGATGGATACTAAAATATTTAAGGTAGAGCAGACTAAAATAAAATCTCATAAACTTATTGTAAGGCCACTAGTGAGTAGATTCACATAAACACATACACAATGCTGCTACATAGTGCTTCATCAGACATGCTTTAACTAATCGGTGCATCTTATGTTTTTGTGGTAAAATTACAAGTAAACTTTTTTTGGTGCTTTTTTATCAAAATGCAGATTTTGTCTGTTTTCATGCTTTGTTGCACCATTGTATTTTCAGCACATACAGCTTGGCATTTAGTTAGTATGAAGAGATACATACGAGTATAGTTTAACTGTATCAAAATACATTTTTCTAAATTAAAGTCTAATAGATAAACTATAATTTTGACATTAAAAATTCTATTCCTTCTACGTAATTAAACTTCCAGAATCTTGATATGCAAAATATGTTGATCTATAAAGTTTTCTGCTTTGAGTTGCAAATTGGACCAGGGTTGACTTCCGAACTATTTGTGATTTCATGCTCATGCTCGTAGTCCCTTAACTCGATATCCTCAGTGGGCACAGAGAAACTTTCCACTTTCAGCAGATGAATGCGAAAACATCCTTCTAGTGTCAAACTCTGCACAGACATGAATCTGCACAGTGAAGATCAAACATCCCACTGTAGGATGAGGAAGAAAAAACATTTTTGAGTGGAGGGGAACTTTAACTATTTTGATTCTGATTCGTCCGATTTTACTGTGAATCCTGAACGCACCACATTGTTGACGCAGCTTCCGACTCCGCTGTCAGTCCTGAAGCTTTTACTGCTGCTACAGTAGCTGTTTCCCACACATTTACCCTCTAATACACACTCTAGCTGTAATATCATGTTATTTTTAGGCTTAAAGCAGCGATGATCTTGTCTTTGGGGGAGTTTGGATACATTCAGTACATTTAGAGCAGGTGGGTGCCCGAAGCAGGGAAATGAAAATGAAAAAAGCTCTGTGTTTTTGTTCACAATCATGCATTATTTATAGGTGTTATGTACCTCAGTGCCCACTTTTCCATTCAAAACTTCTCACATTGTGTACATACGTTAGCTGTTGTGAGTACATGCACCAAAAGGTTGAGTTCATCTGGTGTAACACCCTGTAAACCCACTGACAATGTAAGTTAAAGAGCAACCGGTGTGGGGAAAGGATACCAGTCTTAGAAATGACTGAATCCAAACTTGATTTGTAATTGTATTGTACAGCATACTTTATTTAACCTTTAGGTCACTGCATATAAATGCTCATATTGGGCTGTTTAACCTAACCCTTCCCCTAATAGTCTTTGGTTCGTTTCAGCTGAGTCCTGTAAACCCTGGTGTGATGCATTCGCTGGCTCAGGAGATCCAGGGCTTCTCCAAAAACCGTCTGAAGAAACAGTGCACACATGTTACCACGGTGACAGGCAGGAAGCTGCTGGAGAGGAGGGCTGATGGAGGAGAGGGAGAGGAGCAGGTTGAAGAGCTGGAGGAGGGAAGTGGATGTGGATTTGTAGAAGATAAAAGTCTGGACCTCCAAGTCGGTGTCGTTCGCCCCTTCCTACTGCTGGGTAACAGTTACTACCTCTACTAATAATAGTACTATTGTTTTCTAGAGGTTCTCTTAGCATGAATGCACACTCTGCTTGCTGTATACTTTTACTATTATTGTTACTAACAACAACTGCCACGCTTACTTACTTACAAGTATTACTACCGCCACTGAAGCTACTCTTACTACTTAACTAATGCTCTTACTATTACTTTTACTACTATCATCATTATAGCAACTACTGTTACTGCCGTCACTACTTGTAGCACTGTTTGAGCACTACTACAGTGACTGCTACTATTAATACAACTACTGCAAATATTATTATTACTAGTCCTTCTGTTGCTACTACAACACAACACTTACACCACAAGTACCACAACTACCTTGATTTTTTTTACTACCACCAGGCGGTAGAAACAGTACTTAAATAATGTACGGTACTCATGACTTAAATATTATTTAAGAGAAAATACAAAGTACAAAAGTACCTTTTTGAAGATTTTCTGAAAAGTTTGTTACTTTATACTCAAAAGGTCCCATATCTCAACCATTTCAGTAAAACACTGTCTCCAAAAGAATCCCTCTGCTGTTCTCTATTCACTTTTCCAATAGTTGACAGCAGTTACACCACCAAAATTTATTGAAGTAAAAGTAGGACAAAGGACGTGTTTTTGAATATATATATAAAAGATTACAAGTACAGAAAAACTACAGCGGTAGTAAAGTTAACAGAACGGTCTGACTGTTATATATAAAAAGCCTCACCTGCAGTAATTAAAGTGCTTATAAGTATCTGTGATCAAATATTCTAAACTCTTTTGCTTTTTTTGGAGCGTTTGATTTTATTTCACACCCTTTTCAGCAAATGGAACTTGCTCAGGTGTCACCACACGATCCCTCTACATAACGTCGGTATGGTGATAATGTACAGTTATATACTTACTAGTAATTAGTTGCTTTCTACTCCTGGCTCCTACAGAAATATGGCTATTAATAAAACACCGAGCACTGCTGCTGCCACTATTACTGCTACTCCTGCTGCTACTCCAACCACTACAGCTGCTTCTATAGACGGATGTTAATTTATTATATGTTAATAGTAGAACAGTGGAAAGACTGTGCTAGAGCCTGTGAGGTTTAAACTATCCAGCAGCATTAGTTTCATAGTGTATCAGGTCACTTCAGTATTCCAGATCACAAAGGCACTAGGTCATGGTTTGTTCCTAATAATAAATAAATAAATTCCTAATAACGAATAAATCAATGTCATTAATTTTGAATTTGTCTCCAGAAGCATGTACCCTTCAGCTGTAGGACGCAGGTTGACACCCTCACATGTCAGCATGTATCCGTTGCTGCTCAAGTGTTCTTGAGTTTGACATTGAATCCCCTCACAGCTCTGGGGTGCTGTTCACTTCTGTAGCTTATGCTGTGCTTTGACCTCACTGCAGGACAGAATCAAAGAGAGAATTTCTCAGCAGAGATCAATAAAATATTACATCTGTTGGGCTCAATAGAGGTGACTCTTTCTCATACAGCGGTTCACTGTTAATATAAACTGTTATTACAGCTTACAGGATAAGTTCTTTGACAGGTTTTCAGTAAACCACCTTGTTAAACTTTTGACAGATTCTCTCCAATACTGAAATGGCTCTTTGTCCCCCTGGACAATAGAGACACTGTTTGATTTGCTTGTTTTTTTTCTTTTCTTCATTTCAGGCTGTCATTCAGCTTGACAAGAGGCCTCTTGTATGTAATGCTCTCGTCACAGTATTATGTGTATACGCCCTGTGAGACTGGAGATGATTTCCGCTCTGCGTACTTTGTACACCCTCAGCTCTTTTTAGCACTATGCTGTGATTTCAGTATCTAATATTTATAATAAACTGCCATCCTTTTCTAAATATCAGCGACGATTATCATTTTGCCATGCATATAACTGTAACCCGCCTGGATGGCTTTACAGTGCAGAAATGAATCTAAACCAGGCAGACAGACCTTAATGTTTACAGTAAAATTAATACATTACTAATAAGGCTTTTATCGCTGTCTTTTGTATTTCCAAAATGTTGTCTTTTTAATGAAATGTGAAAAAACAGCTTTGTTTAAAGGAACCGCTCAACATTTTATGAAATACACTTATTTGCTTTCTAGTATTTCTGTTCTATAGATGGCAATCAAAGAGGATAGCAAATAAGAATTTCATTATACAGAGGAACCTGTTCTCTGTGCACATGACAAGAAAGCTCTTTAATGTTGAAACACTACACTTGTAAAGATATTTTTAAGAGTTTTTAGGGTTATTTTTCTTAAGATAGTGGATAATTGTCTGAACCAATAAAAGAACATTTAATCCTTCATCTGAAAACCTAAAAAGCATCAAATATTGAGATCATTGTTTAACATACATTTCTTTGGGCAATATGTAACACACAGGAGAAATCAATGGAGAGGCAGAAGGTGGTTTTCAGGGTTCTACTCAGAAGAATAAAGATGACTGAGAGCTGTCTTCTGTTGTGTAGCAGATTGAATTTGGTCCTGTGTCACACTAAAAATGCTCTAAAACTCCTGGCATTCCTGCATCTTTCCACAGACGTGTCAGTTTAAATTTTTTCCTTCTGCACTGATGAGGCACATGGGCTGGAGCTGGCTTATTTCCAAACACACTCTATCCTTTGGATTTAGATTTTCTTCTCAACACCATGAATTTGGCATTATGTGAAAATGTCTTTGGCTACTGCTAAGAGTGCAAATATTGCTACTTTGAAGGCAGTGAGCTGCTGCAGAGTATCCACTCTGGAAATCTGGAGGAAGTCCTGCCTTCATATTCTCTTTCCTGCCCATATGTCTCTTTCACATAATTATGCAGCTCCTGCTATTTTAGACTATCACCGCTGTCTCCATGAAGAGTTATTTGACAAATTGAAAGAGATTGTTGCTCATTCTGTTTTAAGCTGTCTCCTTTAATGGTTATCTGCCTTTGTCAACTTAAATAGTCATTCAGGTTGGCTTGCTGCATGGTCTTTTTCATTGTATTTCCTCCATTAGTGACCTGCTTCCTCTGCTGCATTAGTCATTCAAACTCTTGAAGGCTGTTGTCATGAAAACGCATTTGCTCCCTCTTTTCATGAAAAGCATAAACTTCCTTCTCTGCAGCTGTAGATAATATTGAATGTTTATTTCAGCAGTTTTTAAGCCTACCCTAGAGCTGCCATACAAATGATCTGATTCTGGGTTTTTTTCTGTAGCTTTAAGCCATTTTACTGTTGGTTTCCGCTGACTGATATCTTCCCTCCGTGGTGCTGCAGCTGTTCAGAAAGGAATTTCTGTCTTTATGTTTTCCTACTAAGTGATATAGGCGCTGATATCCAGCAGCATTTGCCTCCTGCTGCTAAAGTTTTACAGCACTAGTTTTGTTTTATAACTCTGTATTTCTGTGGGGTCTCTCTTTCTAAGACACTGTTCCCTGCTTTATTTTATCAGGAATAAAGCTGCAGGGATAAGCTTTTCACATTTTTCCCAGAGCCCTGGGTGACATCTTCAGAACACATCTTTTGTTTAACTGTCAAACAGTCTAAAACCCAAAGATATTTAACTTAAAATGATTCAAAACAAATAAATATTGCAAATCCTCACATTTTAAAAGCTGGAACCAGCAAATGTTTGGCATTTTAGTTTCAGAGGAATAATGGATTATCAAAGTTGTTATCTTCCGATTGACTATCGGCTTCTGTTCTAATTAGGAATAAAAATATGCAGCACAGTTTAACAAAACCAGCAATATCACCACTGTAACACATATACATATACAAATACAACTGAATTACTGTAAGTGGTACATTTTCTCTCATGTTAAAATAATAAGGCAGATGCCAATTAATATTCATGTAAAGAAAGAAGGAAAAGCATAATTTTTATCATTTTATCACTGAGCAATTATTATCAGCCTGCAGGAAGCATATTTTAAATAGATACGTTTTAGTAAGCAGGGGGAGGCATGCCCTCTTGTCTGTCTTCTCATCAAGTTTTTCTGCCTTTTCAGCCTCTCAGGATGCAGCCCACGACATTGACACCCTGCAGAGATATAAGGTCAGTACAGAGGGATCAATAGAGCGAGCATGCCCTTGCCTTGTTGTGATCGCATGTGCAGTGACATGAGATTAGAGGCAACCCGTAGGTGTGCTTTCCTGCGGCTCAGCAACGAGCGGCCAATAGCCAGAGGAGCTTCATGACTCATGCAGTGACAATTTAGCTCAGTAGAGGGAGTAAATGATTATATCAGAGAAATGTGACTACTCCTCTTTGCAGTGGCTGCGCCCAGGCATGAGCATATTGCTGCCTGTGCAGTCTCAGGATGATGAATTGGATAGATTACAAATACCTTCACTTCCTGTTTCTGGGATGAAACCTTTGACTGCCTAATAAGCAAACCGGCCAATGTTCCCCAGATAGCTATTACAGGTCCAGAGACTTGACTGTGGGCTCGAATCACAGTTTATAAACGGATCTGTTCTTACACCACCAACTTGTGCTTCAGTAAAAAGACCGTAACACTGTATCAGGTGGTGTTGTACTCTGTTCAGCACAGGTATGAGTATGATTACAATATATTCACCGTGTATATTGGTTTGTATTGTATTCAGGTCATAATACAATATGGGTCAGATAGAGACTGCTTATTTATCTCCCTGTTTTAGTGGTTCTAATAATGTCAAGGTTAACAGTTGAGAATGATGCCAGTTTTGTTTCTGGGTGCTTAAACTTTGCTGCATTTCCCACTCTGCTGTATTTAGCTTCTCTATCAAATCTTTAGTAATGCATGAAAAGAGCAAACAAAGGGATGGTATCATGTGTGTTACCAAAGTCAGACATTCACTTTTATTTCAGCAGGTGGACCCAAATTACATCATTAATCATGATATTTTTTGTTTCGCTGGCTAATTACTACATAACTTGATTTGAGAACACACCTGCGCAAACATGGCAGAGAATAATCAGAAACGTGGTGATGGTGTTAATAGTTAGGGTAGTCCAGCTATGTCCAGGTGTCCCAAAACCTGGATATGGTATAAATCAAACTACTTTAATAACATTTGACTGAATAAATAAACATGTAAGCAGGATTTTCCAAAAATCTGATTATAACTAGGATATTACTGTGCGTGTAAACACACTTAATTAGTGATTAAATGTGCTCTGTATCGTTCTGTATTCTTATTAAAGAGAAAGGCTGCTATTATTCTCTCAAATCGGATGGAGGATGGACATCCGATAGCTGCCCGGAGGTCAGCCTCAACATGGCGTCTGGTAGCTGCTCTCCACAGGTAAGTAATTCTGTTGTGCACACAATTAAATATTTTTGAGGGATGAATGTTGGCTAGCTGTCTATTAGAATTATATAGCTGTATGCGCTAGTGTTAAATGGCACATCATGAAGTTAGCCAGCATTCATAACTCAAACATTTTAATCATGCACACAAGAGAGTTATAACATACCTGTGGAGAGCAGCTGCCAGACGCCATGTTGAGGTTGCAATCACATTAAATCATACCCTCGAATCTATGCCTGTGTGAGTGAGATAATTCCTTTTTAAAGAAAATGCATTTCTCATTTGAGCCATGGCAACAACAAAAAAACACACGCACACAAATGTAATTAAGTTCACATCCAGAGATGTTTTAGATCAAAATTGCAAATACTTTTAAATACATATATTTGTGAATTTCTATTACATTTACTTGTATTTACAAGAAATATTTGAGTGTGCATCAGAAATACATGTATGAACATTTTTAGATTTTATTACATTAATATACGGATCTGTGCGCATTCAATACTATCAAGACTCATCTGACAGGACACACCGGTACGATGCTAAGATGTAGAGCTAGAGAGAATTTAGCCCTCAGAGAAAAGCTAAATTTAAGTGAGAGTAGACTGACACTGTAAAATGAATTGGAGCCATCTGTCTTCTTTCCCGTACCCCCCCCCCTCTTTTTTCTCCCTCTCTCACATTCTCTTCTCTTCATCTTTTTTCATTCCTCTTCCTCACTCTACCCTCTCACTCAGTCACATTCAGGTGGTGTCACGTCATCAATATGGCTGTCAGAATATCATTCTTGCCAAAGCGAAAAGTAACAGACAAGTCAATGCTCAGGGATTTTCATGTCTCTTCCTGTCAGGTCTCTCATGTGCTAAATGTTGCCTATGGAGTCACTAACCTGTTCCCAGATCAGTTGGTTTATAAGACGCTTCAGATCCTGGACCTCCCAGACACTGACATCACTTCATATCTTGGGGAGTGCAGCTCCTTCATAGATCAGGCACGAAAACAGGTATAAACACACACACACACACACACACACACACACAGAAACAATTAGCATGTAATCATCCACTTTTACACAGTTGACAGTTGAAAGAGGAGGATGCAAAAAAATATATTTTAAATTTAAACTTAGGTAAAATATCAATACTATAATGTAGAATGTAGAATTTTTTAAATAAAAGTTTTTCTTCTTTTTTTAAAACATTTTTGGAATTATGCTTATTGCCATTTTGGCCAATTTACCTGCAGTAACATGAAATTTAAATAACTGAGTAAAGTGCAAGTTCCCTAAAATTCAGCTTTAGAAAATGTACTTAGTCATCTTTCACTTTCAGATGCAGACATATCATCCATCATATTTTTTAAGATACAAAATGCATCAAATCTATTAAAATATTAGTCATCCACTTTTTTCTCTTTTTTCTCAGGAGGCTCATGTAGCCAAAAAATGCTGTTTTTATATCTGCCAGCTAATTTACCATGCCAGTGTGTGCACACAGCTATTTTGCTACCTCACTGTGATGCATTTATAGACATCTACAGCAGTCGGTTATCTGTAACTCAGCACAAAGGCGAGGTGGGTGGAGGGTGGTTACCTATTAGAAGACCTTGATGGGGTCATTTAATTTAGGAGAAAGTCAGAACATTCTCTGCTTACAATTAGTTTTCACTCAGTCTTTTCACATCCTGTATAAAGTCCTTTTTAAGGGACTATTTCCTGGCAGAGACTTGCACTTCTTCCAGTGCGTGTGTGTGTGTGTGTGTGTGTGTGTGTCAGGAGATTGACCGTAAGCAGAACATAATGTGATGTGAGCACTGATATGAAAACGCTCAACTCGAGCGCAATGAAATAACAGCAAAACAAGAAACTCTGACAAAACCAAATTAAGTCTCTGTGTTCGCTGTGATGGATTATCTTGCTCAAGCAATTTTCAGTCTGCAGAAGTTTTTTGTTGCTGTTTTTTTTTTTCAAACAGAAAGAAAACAAGACCCAATGTAACTATAGTGACTGCAGACACCAGCACAAATAATATAAAGCAGCAGAGAAACCTCTTTGATTTATAGAGACATATAAAAGACTGATATCATTGGTGTAGCCATTTGATGTGCTTCATTTGATTGTATTTTACTCAGAGGACCAGCTTGATTGGGTTATATTGTGAAATGAAAGCACAGATAATACTGATAACATGTCAATTACAGCAACCAAGGCACTGCAGGTTTGTGTAGCCAAAGCTAATTTAAATCTCCTGTCCCTCAATGGGTATTGATTGACATGTAAAATAAAAAATGTGCCTACGGTTTCTGTTCTGCTCCATCTCAGCCACAAAAGAGACTTTATTCTGTGATGGGAGGCTCCATGTTGAATAAAAGAGACAAATGTGTCAATATGCTGAGCTTCAGAACTGAGCCGTGGGCACGCATTGTCTAAAGATGTGGCTGGAATTTAAAAAATTCATTTCCAGCCAGGCACTCTAGGCAGTAAAATAATTACATCAACATTAATATTAATCATATCGCAAATTTGGACACACACACAAACCACAGTCACATATTTATTCCGTCTCAACTTGCCCTACATGCTCTGTCTAATGCTGCTTTCACAGAGTCAGGAATTACAGTTTTTCTCAGGGAAAAATGCCGTGAAATGACTCTTCAAGTTGTAATTTTTCTGATCTATCCGATGTGGTTTATAATTTTTAAATGACAAAAAATAACATATTTACTCACTAGCAGTATATGGCCTCATTGATTATTTCAGTTTTCAGACATCAGCCTCTGAGACTTCTGACACAACCTCAATACAATTAAATTCCATTTACCTGCATTGTATTGGCGTGGCAGCAGGAATCATATTATATTGAAAATATGTTTCTAAACCTATACATTTGCTGGTAAGCTTATAGTTGCATTCGTTAACAGAGCTTACCATATCATTATATTGCAACATTTTATGGGGAATATGATTTCATGTAGGTCAGACAATCCATGTTTATTCAGTTTTTACCAAACTTGAACATGTGCCCTCTATAATGTTTACCCTCACTGTTTTCCTGTCCCATTCACTGTCTCTTCCCTTAGGGCGGTGTGGTGCTGGTCCACTGTAACGCAGGCGTATCACGCTCTTCCTCTATCGCGATTGGCTACCTGATGTTGACGGAGGGGCTGTCTTTTGATGATGCATACAATCAGGTGAAGCTGGCGAGGCCCTCAATTCGCCCCAACCCCGGCTTCTACCAACAACTACAGAGCTACAAACCTTAAAACTGCATTCATTGATTTTTTTTTGTCCATTTGGGAGCAGCATAAACGATTTGTGAACACAACACTGACATATCAACACCTTTGAAGTGAATATGATGAACTTGTCAGCAAACAGTTGCCTATTTACACATTCAGTACAGAGCGAGTTCAGTATTCACTCTGCTTCTAGCTCTGCTTTGGTCTCCACCATTTCCTGAGGACAATATCTGTCTCTTTAGCAGCTAAATGCTCCACTGTGTTCACCAGCAAGTCGCTAACTATGTCTGCCTGCCATTTGGTGCTGTGCAGGTAGTGTATAGTTTTTATTATATAATATATATAGTATTCACTGAATCCAGCTGCCTGCTGCTGGAAATGATGTTGATGAGAGCTGTAAGAGTGAACCAAAACCAAAAACCAATTTATTTAAAGATGTTTAAATGTTCTGAGAACTACAGATTTGGTGATAATTCGGTGTGTTTGTCACAGCGACTCTTCTCACATTACACGTTGTCAGTTCATCCATTGTTTGTGAATTTGTGATTGTGAACACTGATTAGTGCTGCTTTAAGGAACTACAACTATCTTCTTCACCTAAACATTTTATTTTGAAAATTGTTGTTGTTGTTTTCCTTATCAAAGATAATGAAAATGTGTGTGCCATATGTATGTTCATACACTTGCCCAGTATGTATGCATGTGTTAGGTGTGTCAATTGTCTAAAAAAACACAGTTAGTTAGTGAAAAACTGTCAGCCTTTAATTCCACAGTAGTAAAATCTTTGTTAAGAAACTGATTTCCTAGAGCCATTAATTTTGGAGGCACCTTTCTCTTAGTTTTCTTTGCAGTATGGATTGTTTTCTAATTAAAGACATACCAGTTTTTCATGAGGTACAACTTGATTTCTTTCTTCTTTCACTACACAAACACATACACCATCAATTATAATGATTACCCTCACTGCTGCATTGTCTCTATCAATTTAACAACTTTGCAAAGTTGATGCGCTAACCTCGCTCCCTTGAAATAATTAACTTGTAATTAGCTTCATAGATAATGAGGGAGAATCCAGTTGGCTCACACACTAATCAACAAACACCGCTGGGACGAGCTACTGATGCTGCAAACTCACACAACACAAATCTATATCATATTCTAATCTTCTCTGTTTAAATGGAAATAAAGTCTATAGATGTGTGTTTGTTGTTCACCCAGCTGAGCACAATTTCTGATAGTGATTGTTATTGATTAATGTCCGCAGTGTTGGAGTTAACCGTCCAGTCTGTGGAGGAGGAGATGTTCTGCACACTTAATTCTATGCAATTTAAATATATTAGTCCAATTGTAAGACAGAAAATCAGAAACTACATGCTGAGTTACATAATCTGCAAAGTTACAGTGACATAAAATAAGCATGACTTTACTGCCACAAAGCACACAATGACCATAACTTAACTGCAGTTATGAATAATAATAGTGACTGTGTGACTTCACCAGCTGCTTAGATTTGTCTGGTTTTAAATAGTCTGTTTTCAGGCTGAACTTTTGATTAAAATGTCCAGTGTGTAAGATTTAGGGGGATTTATTTACAGAATATGCAGGTACAATTGTGGATTAAGTGGACTAAAGGTTGGAGAAGTGAGCTTGGGTCAGAAAGTTTGTTGGTTCAATCAACCCGACCGGCTGGAAAATCTGCATGGGCAAAGTAAAAAGCTGCCCTTGCCCCTCCCTCATTACCAGCACTAAAGTGACCTTATGCGCGGACTCCACCATGTTGCTCCCATGGATGTATGAAGAGAACCGCATGCAGCATGGGAGGCGACGCTCCATTCATTCCTGCGAAAGCCTGTCAGTGGCGCATGAAGCCAAAAAAGTCACTTCCTGCTGTAAAGAAATTACTTGGGTGAATGCATACTGTGCATGCTCTATAATGGGCGACAGAGGCACGGTTCCTCCTAAATGCTTGGAACAGGAAGGTGAGGTGAGAGGTATGCAATCTGCAAGTGCACCGCTAAATCCCACAAAGTCCCATATGTCCCTCTCAGGATGAATTTGAACTTTGGTGATCCTCAGCATTTCATCTAGTGCCATCATCGGTTCAAATTTGAACAAAAAGCTGCAAAATTGACAACATTCCCATCAGCCTCAGCTGTACATTGTGTTTAATGATAAACACTAGCATGCTAACATGTTAAACTAAGATGGTGAAAAGTGACACCTGCTAAACATCAGCATGCTCTCAGGATTTGTACTCACTGACTGTGCAGTTAGTTTTTTCCATGCTAAGTATTCTGTTCAAATGCACTTCAGCAGTAAGTGAGCCCATCAACGTTTGTATGCTTTTTCAAGAGGAACTAATGTACTGACTGGTCTGACAATGGCACTCTCAGTCACTGCTTTAAACTGCTCATTCTTTCAGTGACAATGATGATTCTGTATCCGTTCACTGAAAATGTGGTGTTAACATTTTGTGTAACATTTAGGAGGATCTATTAGCAGAAATAGAACATAATATTCATAGGTATCTTTCCATTAGTGTATAATCACCTGAATAGAGTAGTCGTTGTTATCTAGAGACAATGCAGGTCACCTTGACGATGGAGTCTGCCATGTTGAACCGACAGACATTTCTACAGTAGCCCAGAAGGGACAAATTAAACACTGGCGTTCACATTTTTCACACATTTTGTGGCCCCCGTAGTTTCTTCTTCGTGCTCACAATCTGCAACTACACCACAAGATGTCACTAAATCCTACACACTGATCTTTTATAGATTTTGTTTGGACATTGGACAAAAAAAAAATTAAATAAAATGAGTGGTGGTGAAAAACATTTTTCTATGTCTGTTTGTTTTATTGGCTGCGTCATTGCAAAGTTCCACTTTGATCAACAGATAAAGTTGCATGTATTGTATCCTTGCCTGTTAGCATAAAATGGTTT